TATTGTGTTTGTGTTTTCTTTCCCAGGTCTGGGGCCACAAATGGGCTGACTTGTCAGAGCACAACTTTGGAGTTGCATTGCTGAATGACTGCAAATATGGTTACTCCATCCACCAGAACACAATGACTCTGTCCCTGTGAGGTTTCCCACTTTTTATATGCAACATGAACAGAACAATTCAGTTACAGGAAATTGAAATAATCCTTGCATCTAACAGTAAATGCCGTTTTTTTCAGGCTGAGAGCACCAAAGGCTCCAGATGCCACTGCTGACATGGGGACTCATCATTTCACATATGCAATCATGCCACACACAAGTAAGTGTTACTTTATGAAGTGTCTTTTTAAAAGTGTTTCTAACAAAGCTGTGTGACTGGTTTAAAACAAAGGTAATGTGATTGTATTGTTTGTTGTCTAGGATCCTTCCAAGAAGCTTCTGTCATCCAGTTTGCATACAACCTCAATTTCCCTCTGAGGTTGATCCAGTGCAGCCCCGACACTGTGGCCTGGAGTGGCTTTTCTGTCAACCCTGAATCCGTCATACTTGAGACCATCAAACAGGTATTTACATTTAACACTAACCTATAAAAATAGCTTCTCTGTCGAAACTTGTAAAGACTACTACAATCAAAAACAGCTACTACCGTCACTTAATGGCTGTTTACTTATTTACTGTAACAGGCGGAGGGCGGAAAGGGGACACTTGTAGTCCGTCTGTATGAGTCTCATGGGAGCAGCGTCACTGCGACTCTGCGCACCACCCTTCCAGTCAAGGAAGCCTGGCAGTAAGTGTTTCTATTTCTATAGTATTACAGTCGAAAATCTTTTTTTGGTGTGTTGTCTTCTAAGAACAAAACCCTTTTTCCTTTCAGTTGTGATCTGTTGGAGAGGCAAGACCCCACCCAGCCAGCACGTGTTACTTCGGAGGGAATTACTCTGAACTTCAGTCCCTTTCAAATTGTGTCACTGCTGCTCACCTTCTGATTAGATATGACATTCTGCTAAGTCTCAATGGTACTATAAATAAAGTTAGTGATTATAAATTAGTTGAAGAAATCACGACTGAGTATTTCCACCTTGAAATTGCAGCATACTGATGACGGTGTCAAAATTCAGAAATCCAGGATTTAATATGTATCAATCCTAAAGAATCAATCTCAACAGCTAGCAAAGTGGGGTTTCCTGTATCATTCTTCTTCAGAATTGGCTTCCACTTCACACATGTATGTCTGAATTACTCAAATGCTTCAACTTCCCATTGTGTAATGCAGTTTTAGAGTGTTTGACCAAAGTCTTAGGTGAGCTGGTGTGCTCGAGCTTGGAGGGAGGGAGAAGAAAGGTGGATACTTTATAGATCTAAATATTCTAGAGGAGCAATGCTATGAAGTCACATTTGAAGCTACATTTTAAGGCAGATTCTCTTTGAGATAAAGAAAACTTTGATACACAAGTAACTTTTTTTAGGGGTTTCATCCACGAGCAGTGAGCGACTTTTAACACTTTGCTAAAAAACAATCTGATTCTGTTTTGTTAAGAGTTAATTAGGAAACTTCAAATGAAATGTTTTTAACTCAAAAATAATCTAAATAATTTGCATCAAATTATTAAACACCCTTGAACAACAACATCTGTAGAAATAGTTTTATTTAGAAAGTACTTAATGGTATAAAAATATAAAAACCGTCCCATACAGTGGTGCCTCCCATACAGTGTTTGTTTTTCTTTGCCGTCCTATCTGGTGCCTCTCACGTTTCTCCTTTTTGGACCTGCAACACAGACAATTAGAACATTAAAAACCTATGTTTTTCAATAGCCTCAATAATAAAAAAAAAAAACAAGAAATAAGTTTCATTTTGAGAGAATGTCATGAGTTCACCTGCAATCGTCTCTGCAGCGCTGCTCTTCCTGGTACGTGTATTTGATCTTGTTTCAGGCTGTGGTGTGTTTACGTCACTGGCCTTTTCAGTCTTTTTCCTCTTTGATCCAGTTTCCTTTAGACGTGTATCCTTTGCTTTCTTGGGTGTTTTAGTCATGCGTTCCTGTTTGACTTTTTTCTTTGTAGTGCTTTCCCTGCGACTTCTGGACGCCTAAACAAACAAAACTGGTGTTAGAAACACTGCTGATGAGTAGCCTGTTGTTCAAGAAGTAATGACCGACCTTTTTCTTGTCTGTGTAATCATGGTCATCTTCTTTCTTTGCTCTCTTTTTCGCCTTGGGTGACTTTGAATCTTGACAGAGAAGAAAAGACGGCGGTTAAGTCACATTTTCGATCACAAGCGTTCAGTTTGATTCAAAAGTGTTCCTTACCTTTTGGTGCCATGGGGCCTGCATCGCCCTGAAAATAGAACAGTGGATATAAGTGTTAATGATGCACATTATAACATCCTGTGCCAGAGAATTAAAGGAGCAGTATGTTGGATTTAGGGGCATGTAGCCGTGAGGGTGCAAATTGCAACCAACTGGATTTTCAAAGCCTCGTCCTTCCCTTGAAAGACTGTAGGAAAAGTTAAAATGGTAGCTGAAAACACAAAAGGCCCTCTGTACAGTCAGTGTTTGATTCTGGCCGGATGCAGAAACATGGTGATGCAACACTGTGGACAACAATCCTTATTTTGAAGCGATTATAGGCTCATGAAATCGTAGTCATGCATAATGTATTTCTGCCAATAGATCCACCTAAATTCTAGAAACTGGACCTTTAACATACAGGATTTTCCCTCAACTCACTTTGAACCACATAGTTCTGCCATTGTGGTCCCGGATGGATGTCATTCCATCCACGTAGTAACACCGCAGCCACGCCTCAAAGCCGGAGTAGTCTGCCTTCTCTGGATCATAGCCCTTTCCGCCTGTAATACAAAATGTATGCAAGGAATGAAACTGCGTCATCTCTGATTAAGAATGGAGCCTTTCCCAATGAAAGCAAACAGGTTGAGTTTCGGACTGAATCAGACTGTAAACGCATGATAGCCTACCGAGGTTCACCACCTCCAGAGGTACTGTATGACAGAGTCTGAGCAAGTCGGCCGTCTCCTCTTTCACCCCACTCTTTTTAGTTCTCGCTGACGCCTTCTGGGAGAAATACAGAAAGATGTTGTTAGAAAATGCAAAGCAGTTGGGTTATGGCAGCTGGGGAAAAAAAAAAAGTGTATCTGTGTGGGTTCTTTCACCTTTGTGTCTGAGATCTCATTTTTCACTGGCTTCTGATTTTCACATGAATCCTCTGACTCAAGGTTTTCCAGCACAGCCCTGGCAGGCAAGAAGGGGGGAATGTTTAACCTGAAAACAAAAAAAAATTCCAGCACTCAAGGCCCGTTCTTTGATAAAACAAGAAGGCTCTTTTGTTTTTAACTTGAATGATTAGGTCTAACCACAGGAGGCCTATGAAGGTGAGCCATTCACATCCTATCTGAAGGAAACCAACCTTGAAAGTTCATGAGAAAGGGTGTCTGGTTTGCTTTATTTTGGGAACAAATTTCCACAGTATAAAACATGCCGTCAGCCTTTTTCTTCAAACCAAAAACTCACAGGAATAGAACTTTACAGAACAAAGAAAGGTTTTTGCCGACTTTCAAGTCTGTCCTTACTTCACAGGGATCATAACAAACCAGCAAATCTAACATCTGTTGACGTCGTGGCCAGTCATGTGTTTTTGCTTTTCTCTTTTAACTGTACATGGGATTGTCTGAGTCTGATATCTCAGCTTAGATTATCTGTTGATACAGAACAAAAAAAACAGTGTTTGCCACCAAAATCTGACATCTGTATACGAAACTGTGTTGAACTGACTGGGGTCATGGCGTTTAAAGATAATAGAGAGGCCTGTTATGATTAATATTTAAGAAATGTACCTTTTACACTCTGGTGAGACACAGAAAGACAATTTGAAGTCTACTTTGAATATTTTGCATTATTTGAAGTGACTTTTTAAGAACTCAGCAGATTCCTTCACTCCTTATAGATTTGTGTTTAAGGTGCATCATTATATCACAGCTGATTCACTCACTAAGGTCAGCGTGAGTGCATCTCTAATACAGATCTGTGTATCGTGTCCTCTTTGTGCATCTTCATCACCTGAAAAGGATTTCAGCTCTCAGGTAGTTCCCGATACCATTGAAGTACTTCTGATTCAGCAGGACTTCACAGATGGGTCTGTCAAAAGCCCGGTCGGACAGGTGTGACATGACGTTCTCCCTGCAAAATTTGTGAATGATGAGTCGGTGACAGTAGTATTTTGGTTGATGAGATGACACAAGTGACAACCTCAGCAGAACTAACCTGAAGCTTTCGTACTCGAACATGATGCAAGGCCCTCTGCCAGCCTGCCACGTCCCATTGTGCTGCCAGCTGCCGAACCTGCGTGCATCCACAAAGCTCAGCACTCTGCAGGGTTTCTCATTGGAATAGAAACGCAGATGGGCATGTTTGGGAAGCTCATCCTCTCTAGTCAAGCGGAAAAAGCCTGACATCCCAAAGCGAAAGACGATATCCATGGGTTGCACAGCTTGCCCTGCTTTCGCTCTCTGCTTCGATTCATCACTCTTTAAGGGCGTCAGGGTGAGCTTCACTTCCTTCCCTCTGGAAGTGGCTGTGATGCGGTACGCCTCACAGGTGAAGGGCACATCAGAACATTTGCTGACCTCAGACTTTCTGACCGGTCCACTAAACACCACTCCTTCACATGTTTTGTTGACGTACAGGCTGGCCAAGTGGAGCTCTGGTCCCTCAGGCATTTTGCTGGAACAAATGGAGCTGAGCTGCATAGAATAAAGATTACATCACAAACTATCACATGCAGGGACATGGTATTAACTTCAGTTTGCATTATTCAATTAGAAACTTCCACGTGGTGGGTATTTTAGAAGATAACTCATTTTGTCACATGGACTGGTTGAATGTGTTTCTACAATCCTGACCTGAGCCTTGAAAACAAAGTAATGCAAATCCAAACACACCCACATTACTCACATGATGCATCTCAATGCTTTGCTTTTACAGACTAAACAACATACCACCACACACGTGGCTTGTGTTCTGGATGTACTTGTAACTATTTAATTAAATCTGAGCAAGACACTGTTTCTGTGCATTACACAAACCATAACAAGAGGAAACGTAAACGCTGCTGCGTCTTTATTGAGTTACACGTGCATAACTTACCGAAAGCAGGAATCAGACCTCGGTGTAAAAAAGAAGTGCACTTACACAACCTACAGACTGTACTCGCTGCAGGACTGCTGCAGAAAATATGCACACGAGCATATATAAGTTCTGTTACAACGTGCAGGTACTGCACGCACCGAAAGGCTTTCATAACGAGTGTTACCAAACAAGCGCACATGGAAATCTCGCGATATTTCCACGCTTGTCGTACCGTTTATTTGCAATACAGTATTTCTCGTGTATTTCTGTTCACAGTGGATGTTTTATTATCCTCTAACCATTAACTGAAAACATTTACATATTTACGCAGACTTGGCCCAGCAGATACACTTCAGAAGCGTTACACTGAAGCATCACCAAGCTAAAGAGCAAACCACCCCAGCATTGCATGATGGGACATGTAGGCGTTTGCAGAAACGGTGGCGGAGAGATACCTGAGTTTCAGATTTTATTCATTTGTGACGTTATGAAGGTAAAACAGACATAACCAACACAACTCAAATCAAAATGAGTTAAGTAATATAATTACAACATTATGGAACATAATTACAATATTTTACAAAAATGGTCCATTCAGTATTCTTTCATTTCATCGGTGAAAAATCGCAGAAAGGAAACATTTCCATCAATTATTACTTATGCGGTGGAAAAACACAAGTACTTTAAAAATCCAAGTCAAAATAAGGAATGAGTTTTCGTTTCACTAGAAATAGCTAAATTCAAGCAATGTACAATATGTAAATGTGGCACTTTTGGTTGTTCATCAGCCTCATGTGTGTCCAGTTCCTGATTAGACATTTAAGCCTGACTTTGCTGTGGATCCTTTATTGTAGTGCATTCATCATAGCCTGGGCTTGTTTGAGCTCTGTGGAAACATACAGAGATAAACGATTATTACAACATAATCCTGGCTAATAAAATGCATTTGCAAAGGGGTAAAACTCCGAGAAGGTTATTGTGATTTGACAAAATGCAGAACTGACCCGCAAGCAAGACTCTGAACTTGTCAGCAGAGACGGAGACGACAGTCGTCTCCGTAGAGCCTGACTCTGCTCCTTGTGCCTCCAGCTTCAGCTGAATCACAGGTTCATTCACCTCTCTCAGCTCACTTGAACTCAGAGTGTAGTCGACACGCCAGGATACAGATTCCAACCGTCCCACTGAAATTCATTGCAAAGCAGAATGGCAGCCCTAAGTCAGCACTCAGACATCAATCTCACAGAACTGCAGTCATCACTAACTTTGGGTTCCTCTTTCAATTAGGGAAGAGACGCAGATATACTTACATCTTAGGCTCGTCTCTCTTAGTTTGTCTTGCAGTGCAGAGTGTTTGTCTTCATATGATTTGCACAGCCCCGTTGTGTGTTCTAAAAGAAATGGGTGTGTCGAATTAATCGTAGTTTTAAGCTGACAAGTGCTTATAAGTGTCTTAGGGCAGTATTAGCAGAAACACAGAATCTGTACATGAAAACAGCAGTAACATATAAATGAGAGAAAAATGTAACAGCCACACAAAAAAAGTATTTTGCATTCATTAAATTAAACAGTTCTTTTCAGAACATCTAAAACAAAAAGCAAAAGCTGGTTGAAGGTTATCTGTGATTGTTGTTTAGTCCCAGTGCACCATAACACCACCCTAATCAACAATGAACAATTTCTTCATTGTACACTGTGCTCGTATTATGTCCTTGAAGCGCAGGCCAAGTACAGGTCGTACTGTATCTCATATCACTGACCAACAACTACAGAGCACAGTAAGCTAAAAAGCCCTCATTTGCGGAGTGAGTGCGTATTTTTCTACAAATGCACCGACTATTTGTCATGACATACAGTCATATTTAAACTATTACCTTTCTGAGCTCATATTCTTACCGAAATGTCATATGAAAGGTGCAAATCTTGCAAAAAAAAAAAAAAGAACTTGTTTGGCCTCATGCGTGCTCAACAACCTCCTGTTAATAGGGACAATACTGTGGAACATTCTAAGTACTCTGGTCAGATGATGTTTTTCCACCTCATGGAAACTACTCTTGTCCTTGCTCTTGGCATAAATCCAAGCATAACACAATGTCTGTGACAGTGTAACTACAGATTATGCAACATAATCATAATTTTCAATCCAAACATGCTTAACAACTAACAGGACTAACCTTTAGGCAGACCGAGCTGCTGCAGCTCACTGGACAGAGACTCGCTGTCAACATCATGCTTTGCTGCACTGGAGAAAATGAAGCTGAGCACCGCCACACTGGCTTTGATGTCTCCGCTTTCTGCAAGATGGATCAATGCCACAAAGCAGATTATGTGACCAAAAAAAAAAAAAGTGTAAATGCAAAGTACAGCAGTGTTACAGTCATGCGTGTATATCAGAATATATCTTTGTGCACTTACTCAGGTACTCTTAAGAACAGTTTGGAGGTACTTTTTCTACTTCTTGATATCAGAGGCAAATAATCTACAGCACTTTTTATTCTGTTACATTTAGTGGACAGTTGTAGTCACTATGCAGATTTAGATTTGACACAGAAAACATGCAGTGAGCTGATAAAACACAAGACACTGATACAAACAGTATTTAAAGTCACTTCCCCTACACTAAATAGGACACCAAAATGCTGCTCACACGTTCTACCATCAGTAGTAGCAATCCGATAATGTATGATGATACTTTTACTTTTCATATTAAAGTATGTTATTATACTTTTACTTGTGGGTTTGTATTTAGGAGAAGGGCTGTACAATATACTAATTCAGCTACTGATG